CCTTTTTTTTTTTTTTTTTTTATTCCCTGCGGGAGAGGAGATGTACTTCTCGTGAGTCAGATATGACCTTTCAAAACATTTATGTTGACAGAAGGCCATCGTGATTTCATCTGCGCGCGGGGTTGCTGCGCGAGGAGGCGTTTGGAGGCGTCGCGGTGTCTCCTGAGTGGGGCACGGAGGAGGAACCAGCTGAAGCAGGCAGGGCCCTGCATGAGAAACTCCAGCCACTGTGGCTCGTAGGGGATGAAGCATAAAGGGAAGAAGGATATTACTGGGTTTGCCCTATTTCAGCAGCCTCAGCTGGGCTCTGGGAGAGCCTGGGGGGGATGTGGGGACCTGCTGCCTTCTTTTAGCAGGGGTAGGGCAGGGTGATCCTATGAGAAAATGGCTGGTCTGGGGCTTTGTTTTTTAACCCCTCCAACAAGTGCAATCCTTTTGTGTGGATGGCTGAGGATATCTGCAGGGCATGGCTGGTTCTATTTCAAGGTCAAAGATACTGTTCTTCCTTCGTAAAAGTGCTGCTTAATATTGTAAAGGCTTTTTTTGGTCCCTACATTAGCTTCTTTTTAGCTCCTCTAAAAACAGGCGCCATGTCCTCAGGGCCATAAATCACCTTGCTCTTTGCTAGGTGTACCCAAGTAACCAATAAATAAATGGTCCCCACTGGCAGTCGGAGCATCTGCACTCCTTAATAAGCTTAGTGTGCTTTGCAGGGGTGAGGATCATCTCCACCACCTGCAAGCACCACCAGCAGCCTTCTGGAAACTGCTTCCTCTCCCTGGGGCTGTGGGGTGTCCATCTCCTCCTTCCCCTACCCAGGGAGCCCAGGTTTGCCTCCCCCGTTGGGGAATATTCAGCCCAACTTACAAGGCTGAGCTCTTCGGCAGGATGTTCACGTAGGCAGCCAGCTTCTTATCCATGATGGCCCTGGGTGAGACAGGAGGGGGAGTTAATTCCTGTCCCCAGCTCGCTGCGACTCAGCGCTCGCCCCCAGCCGTGGGGACATTCCCTCGTGCTGCCCCTGACTGCCAGCAGCAGCTCTGACGTTGGAGACGTGGGACTGGGGGTTAATTATTACCCCGAGAAAGCAGAGGCAAAGGTGACCTCCAGCTGGAGCTGCTTCAGCTCAGGTCCTCCCGGCAGGGAGGGCTCTGGGACGCTCCCCGCCGTCCCTCTCCACTGAGGTTGGGTGTTGCTCCTGGCCTGGAGCAGCACAAGGGACTTGTGCCTTGCAGGGTGCAAGAAGGAACTTGCCTGCTGTCAGCCCTGTCCCCATCTCCCCGTGGGGACACAGGGACAGAGGCTGAGCCACGGGGCATCGAGAGCTGGGGCTGGGACGGACACGAAGGGGTTTGTCTGCCAGTCGTGTATTTACACTGTCCGACTGTGCCTCTTCCTTGCACGGCAGACTAAATGTGGATCTTGTTAAATGAACAACATCAAGGTTTTTCTACCCAAAACGTCCTAGAAATCTGAAGCCCAAATAAATTCCTTCCCTCCGGCTGCCTCTTTTAGCTGTGGGCTGATTTGTTATTGCAGAGTTGTTTGGGCCTGCCAGAAGAAGTGATATTTAAGTGATTAAAGAGTACTGAAGCAATCTCAGGGTGGATTTTTAGAAGAACTAGGTCAAATGTTGTGTTTTCTGACCACAGCAATGTGTGGGCCCTTCTCATGGAGATGGCAGCCCTGTTCCTCTTGCAGGCAGCTCTGTTAAAGGCGCTGCACTACTAGTGACTTCACCTTTGGTTTTCTTTAACACTAGCCTCACCGGGCACTACTTTGTCCCAAGTGCTTTGTCAGTGCAAACATGTAACTTCTAGATCTCCTTGAACTGCAGAGAAGACAGGAGTTATTAGGTATTGGAAGGCTCGATTCAACAACCTGCAAAAATTAACTCCCAGTGAGCGAAAGAATTAAAAGCATTCCAATCAGCTACTGCTCCGATTCAAAACGTTCTCCAGAATGCTTTTGGCTCAGAGCAAGTTAAAAGTTTATTTTCCTTACATTCAGGGTATGATACAGCCTGGCTGTGACTACAAAACAAGCTGTAAGAAACTCTTAGCTTTCAAAAAGACATTCTGAACCGTAAAAATATGACAGACTTGGTCGCTGGGTGGCGATGAGCAGAAGATGAGCAGAAGGGGCACAAAGGTGCCTCCCCCAAGGGCTGTGACCTGAAGATACCCCGACCAAGGTGTTCATGTGTAACTGCATCGGGTTGCAGTCTGGCCTCTGACCCGTAAGGAAAGCCGGGCTCTTGTTTGAATGTGCATAAGCTCCTTGGCACGTCTTCAGTATCATCTCTGCTTTCTCGGTCTCTTTGTAGAGGTTTCTACCTTGCAACCGGGAGCACAAGGCAAAGGTGTCCTCGTGGGACTGCGTGGGCTCTGCTGCAGGACAGGGAGGAATCGGGAGCAGCCCGAGTGCTGGGAGAGGAGCAGCCCTTCCTGGTGGTCCTGCAGCATCTTGCTGCTCCAGCAGTGCACCGGAGTGCCTGGACCCAGCCAGCTCGTGGGATGGGGTTTAATGTTTAAGCGTGGCAAGGTGATGGAGGTGGACTCCTCTCTGGGGATGGCTCGGAGGGACCACGGCCACCCGAGGAGGCTCTGGGCTGTTTGCTCTCACCACGTGCAGCCAGTTGGAGGCATTTAATGCTTGTAAGAGCATCTTGAGTTAATCTGTCGACCAGCAAACTGCAGCAGCGTGAGCGGAGACATCCCCGCTGCGTTTGTCATGTCAAACACATGGCACAAATCATTTTGGTTTTGCCGCCTGCAACTTCCAAGTCACTTTAGTGCAGGAACCTTTTGATTTGGGTGAGTACCTTCTAATTGCTTCTGCTCTGTCCCAATAAACTGTGATCCTAACTGAGATCCTGAACTTTGTTCTAGCAAGCTGAGCGGAAACAAGCAGCCACCATGGGAACGGGAAACATTATAAGAAGCTGAACGTGATCTGTGGAAAATGTTTGCATAATACATGATATCTTTGGGTTGGGTACTTAATGTGTGTTTCCTTGTCCCTGCCTCACAATAGGCTCTGAATTGAGACAGATGAAATATTAATAAGCAGAAAAGCAAAGAAAATGATATGTACAAGTCCAAGGCAGAACCGGAGGCTGACAGGCTGCTCGGGTGTTAGGTAAGTTATGTGAGATGCCATGGCCACACCATCCAGCCCAAAGGGGTCAGCTTCTCACAGCAGGCACAGGGGAGAGGCTACATATCCTGTGTGGACCCGGGGGTTTCTTCTGAGGAGTTAATAGTAATCCAGTTAAACTGGGTTAGAACTGATGCAGCAAACAAGCCAGATGCTGAATTCTACCTGCAGCTAATCTGCTTTCACAAAGCTTGAACTGCTTTTTCTTAAAACTAGAAGAAAATTTCCTTGCAGACCGATCCATCAGAGTGATCCACTGAGCAATGTAAAGGAAGAATAAACACAACAGCACAGGAAAAAGGTGTGTGGGAATTTGAGCGTAGAAGCCCTGTGTCATCCTCTACAGCCATGGCTCACTCATCGAAATTCCCAAACAATGGAATAACTCCACCAGTAAAAGCAGAAACAAAGTACATCTATCTTAGCAATGGGGAGTGATTTATTTCCTCTCCCTTCCCTGCAAGATAAGGAACAAAGGGTGGGAAACATTTGCAAAGCTGTTAATATGAAGCATTTTCAGGAACTGAGGCTCTTTTCACCAGCCATGTATAGTTACTCCTTTTTTTCAGAAGACATCAAGCAGTGCAGATATTATTCTATTTGAATTTTTTAATACAGTTGCAGCATTTAAGGTGACACAAAATCCCTTTCAGTAGCCTGTCAGTTCCCGAACGACTGTTTGGGCACTTTACAGAAGACGGAGAGTTTTTGGCAAGAGGCAGGGTAGCAGGGAAAACAGCGCAGGAGGTATTGCAGGAAACTTAATGGTCCATCATAAACATTTCCCCAGTCAACACGGTTTCAGTACTTTGAACAAACCATCTATTGAGTCAGGGACTAACAGATGTGTGAAAAAAACCTCTGCATGCAGAATATCATGCAAAGTATCTCATACATTAAAAGAGGAAAAAAAAAAAAAAAATCAAGGTAAAGCCTTCATTCCCTGAAGTTTGTCTGGTGAGCAGAGTGCAGGCTTCCAGGTGGTACCTCACAAGTGCCTGTTCTGTGTTTGCTGTGGATCACTTTCATCTTTTATTTATTTTCATGGCACTGTACTGTGCTTCGTCCCTCTCTATAAACACCTCTCCTGGAATTTGTTATCTGTGTTGTTCTAGAGAAGAAGAAAGACTGTGGCAGATCAGAGAACATGGGGCTGTGGCTTAATCCATCTGAGGACCCAGAGATTTAGGGCCATGGCTTTAAAATGGGTCTTGAAAACGAAAGGCAGTAGAAGAAATTGAGAATTGGCTTGGTGTTACCATGGCATTGACTTAAGAGGCAAATGTCAGCTTTCTTTTAGAAAGCACAGCTCTTGCTAAATCGATATGTGATACAGAGAGAGAGAGAGTGCAAGAGAAAAGCAGCACCGTTTGGGTAGAAGTACAGAGAAGTACAGATCCTCTCGAGGGACAAGGAAAAGCTTTATTCCACGAGAAGCCGCTTTCGAACAATTCGAGCAGACAAGCAGGAGAAGTGTCTCTGTACCTTGCAATATCCTTGGCAATCTGCTCGTTGAGACAGTTGATGAAGGCGATGGAGTGGGTCCCAGAGACGTAGCTGCCCGTGACGGCCGAGTGCAGCTGGAGAGCGAGGCTCCTCAGCACCGGGTACATCAGCAAAGCCAGAATCACCACCTGAAACGCAAAACGTGTGAGCGGTGATGTGAGGTGAAATACCGTGTTTTGTAAAACCAAGCATTTACATTATCGGTGGCTCAAGGGAAGTCTCGAGTCTTCTTTTAATGTTAACGGTAACACTAGTTGTAATTTAAGTGAAAACTTGCTCATAGGGAGGTTCAATTCCCCCCTCCGTGGGGCCAGTCTAGTCCTGTGCTAAGTGCTCGGGACAGGAAAGGGTCAGGTTTTGAGCCTGGATCAGCCCAGAGGTGCCCAGACCTCTGCTGCGGGAGGTCACACCCCAGACTAATGGGGGTTACAGACACCCCCCCTAGCCTCAGCAGCCAGGACTGCTTTTCCAAAGAAGAATAAGGAGGTAAATCCCTGATTATCTCCTGATTATTAATAGAAATACATTTCTATTGCCAAAAGGAGCAAGAAGGGAACCACCAGGCGTGGCTCACGTGTTCCTGCTGAGGACACATCCTGCAGCCATCCTGTCCCTGTTTGCCCAGGGCGAGGCACGTCCACCCCCCTGCGAAACGGTGGGGTGGGAGCCTCTGCCTCCCTGGGGATGTGGAAGGAGGAGAGCAGTATGTCAGGCAGGGGTAGGGATCTGACCTTGGGGAACAGATTTGAGCTGGAGCCTGGTGCAGGAGCAGAGCCCTGGGAAGCCCGGTGTAACTCTGTGCCAGGACCTGGAGAGCTTTCACCTGCCCTGTCCGCCCGGGATGATTCCTCTCTTCTGCTGATAGCGCTGTGCTGCCCACCCAGGCTACGATACAGCCTCACATAGCAGGCAACAAAAGGTAAGACTTAAATGCAGGTTTTAAGTTCCGTTCATCTTAATTATCTGATACTAATAGGATAGTCAAGTTGGACCCTTTCGGGCACAGAAATCCTTATGGAGACAGCCCATGTCTGTAGGGCTGTTTCTGTCCAACTGGGCTGCAGAAAACAATAACACGCTCCCCACGGACTGGCAACAAGTTGGTTTTGCTGTACATGAGATGCAATTCCTGTCAAGCCCCTTAGCTGCTCTTGGTACTCACATGCCATAAACACAGTCGTGTAAAAATACATAATTATATCTCAGCGGGGACATTGCTGGGATAGCAAGGTTAATTTGGTGTGCTGAGTAATAGCCGAAGGATGGTGCCTGTACCCGGGGCTGCAGCACTCGCTGTCTCTGCACAGCTGCTCTTCTCTTTGTCTTTTGTTTTTGAAATAAACAGCATCTGGCCCTTATTCAACCACAGTGATAAAAAAAAAAGCAGCTTATAAGACTAAGAATATATTCCTTTTCCCCCTTGTTTCCACCCTCCTTTGTCCTCTGAAAAACCTCCCACTACGGGGGCCAACGTCTGTTTTTGAAAAAGATTGAATTAAAAGAAATATCTCTTGTCACCACAAAGACTGGAGCTCCTTTCCATATGGAAAATAACTGATGTGCTATACTGGTTGTCTTCTCTTTTCCAATCCATTTGAGGAAATATGCTTTGTTATCACAAGGCTTCTCATAATAATTTTTAGAGATGCTTTTGTGCTCTTTTTTCCACTAAGCTGTTTAACAAATATTATGCAACAAATCCCAGAAGCTACTCAGATAGTTACAAGCCAAACAGAGATATGCTGGTGTATCTATTTTTTCAGATTAGAATGTAATCGTGTTCCCTGCTTAGGAAAAAAAAAAAAATCTGACCTGTTCATCATGGCAATCATTAATCTTCTTGGAAGATGTATGTGCATGTGATGAGGAAATCCCTATGAATATTTGTGATTGAATATTAGTACAAGAGTGATCACTCTCTCAGATTTTGGGGGGTTTTCCCCCCCTTTTTTTTTTTCTGAAAAGAAAGATAAAAGTCCCCTTACTTTTCCAGAACAACTGTATTTAGCAAGGGACGGTGCAAAACTTCAGGATTCCTACCTGACAAAACGAATAAACTCATGACTGCCAAATGCTGAAGTAAACAAAACTGAAAAACCCGCTGTGAGATTTTAAGTATTTCACTGAAAAGCACTGACTGGCAAATGATAGTTGAATTTAGAAAGACTAAGCTTTCTGTAAGATTTCTTTTGGCTTCGGTGAACTAAAAACAGCTTTAGGGTTTAAAATTACCATGGTAGGACTTTTTGCCTAGTTTTGATGAAGTTCTGTATAAAAAAACCCCTCAAAACCCCAAGCACAACTTGTGGCAACCTTGAGCATGCTGTGAGTTTCCTCAGCTCAAATGGAAAAAAACTCCTAAGAAATTTGCTTTGCTCTCTGCAGAGAGTACATTCCTCCTGCATGATCATCTTTTTTTTTTTTTTTTTGTTCCCAGAGGTTCCCATATAAAGGTACAGACAGCAGCATTTCCATGGTCCCTTGGGTTGGCATACACCGTGCTCCCCAGCGCGTCTCCCGCGTCCCCCCATCCCAAGCACGGAGCCAGCCCTGGCGATGCCCGAGGGCTCCCACTTACCAGCAGCAAGGTGCCACGGCCCGGCCGGGGACAGCCCTGGGCAGCGGGCAGCAGTGGGCAGCGCTGGCTCAGCCACTCCATCTCCCCGGCCGGGCGAGAGGCTGCGTCCCCTCCGTCCCTCCACCTGCTCTGCCCAGAGCTGGGCAGGCTGCCTGGGAAGGCTGCCCGCAATAAGCACTAACTCCTCCTCCTCCTCTTCTTCCCCAGCTGCCTGCAGGCTGGTGCCCGCCTGCCCGCCCCAGCGTGGGGCTGAGCCACGGGCCTGTGGGCCACCACAGCGTCCCCACGGCACTCCTGCCTCCCCAGGGGCCCTTCCCTGCCCTCCCCTGCCACCCCGAGCCCCAGCACCCAGCCTCCCAGGCGCAGGCAGCTGCCTGACCCACAGAGCTGGGGGGGACAGATGCCAGGGCCCAGCACCCCCAGAAGTGGGGTCAAAGCCATAGCAGGGACAAGAGTACCCTCACAGTATCCGTGCTGTTACCAAAACTGTCTGCACCAACATCTGCTGGAGAAATCTCTCCCTCCAGTGGAAGCACTGGGGTGCACTGGGGTCCTCCCAGTAACTGTCTTAGGTGCTCTGAGACACTTGTTGACGCCATTTGGCCCTTTTGTTTTCATTTTCTCACCTACACACCTCCTTACCTTCTCAGATTTAATATTGTCGGGGCTCTGTACTCTTTGGGGAGAAACACTAGGAAGCTGCTAAGTCCTGTCGTGCTGTTTGGGCCTGAGCTGCTCCCGTACACAGCCCAGCGCGGAGGCGCAGAGCGCTCCGTCCCGCCGCCTCGCCTTACTGCCCCTTCTCCCAGCCGTCCGGGGAGCACCTTCCCCTCCGCCCGCAGCCGGGGTTCAGGCCAGAGCTGGCGCCTGCGCCGCTGGGCACTGGGAGAAGCTGGAGAGACGCTGCCTGCATGGAGGCCTCGGGGAGGTGTGAAATCCCCCCAGCACCGTGTCCATGCTACTACATTTCACGGCCTGAAAAAATGGTTTCCTCTGCTGGCGTGAGGCAAACCCCACGTTTTCTTGCAGCGTGTCCCACCGTGGAGCTGTCCCCATCGCCGGGACGGGAGGCAGCGCGGGGGTCCCGGCGCCGCGGCCCCCTCCCAGGCAGCAAGGCCTGCCCCGGGGGTAGCTCTGCCCCCTCAGCCCCCCCAGGCCGGCTCCGGGTCCCCTGGGTGACCCCGGCCTGTGGCCCTGCAGCGGCCTGTTGTCCCGACAGGGCGGTGCCCGACCCTC